CTGGAACTATGGACATTTGGAGTCAGAGAGCTTTGCTGGGGAGCCGTCGTGGGCACTGTGGGGGTTGAACAACATATCTGACCTCCACACCTCCATGCCAGGAGCATCCCAGGTTGAGGCAATCAAAGCCGTCCCTGGACATTGCCAGGAGTCCCCGGGAACTGAGGGTCGCAGTGGAAGCTCTGGTCCGGAAACATATATATATATATATATTTTTTTTTTTTTTTGCACAGCCAAACTACCTTGTTTTATTGGATTTTGAGTAAAAACAACCTTGTCAAAGTTTCCAGGCAGACTCCTAAAAAGCATTAGCAGATCTGGACCTAGGCAGGCCAGGCACAGGGAGGTCCCTCTATCAGGTTTTGAGGCGGGTCGAGCGCCGTGGTAGTGGGGGCTGGGAGGATCGAGCCGTCACCTTGCTGGGTGTTTTGTCGTGGGTGCTGGGCTGGGAGGGTGGGCGGCCGCCGGAGGTGAACAGGGCTGTCAAAGCGTTCCGGGCATTGATTGCGCACCGGCGGCTCACAGGTCGGGTGGTGGGGCTGGGGTTCTTGGCCGCCTTGTATTTCTGCAGGTTCTCAAAGTGGGCCAAGGACTTGCAGTGCTGAGTGATTCTTACTTGAGCGGGGAGGACCACGCTGCACATGGAGGCCCTGGCGGTTCTTGCTCCACTAACTGCAAAGAGCCCGCCCCGTAAGCCATCATTCATGTACGGAAGCACCGCAAATAAGCACTTAGAGGAATCCTAATTTTAACTAGAATCGTAAATGCTATGATATCCCAGTGACTTCTCTTTATCGGCTACACTTGAGAAAGCCTGATGTTCTTGGTAGTGGCAGTCACTGCTTTTCCCGACGACACATGTTCACATTGCACGTGGACCACACGTGTGTGCCGTGGAGTCCTGGAGATTGGCACCAGCTTGCCGGAGGCAGTGGGGCTGAGCGTGCCCAGACAGCCAAAGCCCTCCCTCTTCTGATCACATCTTCCTCCCGCTCCATGCAGAGGTGGTTAAAGTCTGTATAACATTAGGATTATTGTGCTCCTGGAATATTTGGTAGAGCTCGTGATAAAGTCACTTGAGTTTGATTTTTGGAGGAAAAATAATATGATTTTTAATTACTATTTCAGTTTCTTTAGGAATTTCATATTTATTCAGCGTTTCCATTTCTTAAGTCAATTCTAGTAATCCAATTGTTGTTTTCTTTATTGGCATGAAGCCTCCAGAGCGTTTTCTCACCACATTCTCATCTCGACTGGAGCTGCTCTCTCTTCCAGTCCTCACTTTTAAATTTGAGCCTTCTTTTCTTGCCTCTCAATTCTGTTGTTGTTTCCTTTCCTATTTGTCTTTCTGAGTACATGTTTTGGCACACCTCTGTGCCCTTCTCTGGGTTTTCACAGTGAGACAATCTTTTGAAATTCTTTAGCTATAATGAGTTTCTCCTCAAAGTTTCTAAGCATGCAGCCTTCAGAGTATAGATCCTTTTCTGTGAGTTTGTTTGTATAAAACTAGGAGCGATCACAGCCCGGCAAGAATTCAAACGTTGCTTTCACACCCACAAGGGCACGCGCTGGAGGTGGTTCAACACGAGGCGGGTACACAGGCTGGACTTAGCCTGCAGTTCCAGCTTCTGCTCCAAACATCCACGGAGCCCTCGTGTCACCAGAAAGGGGTCCTGGTCCAGACCCCTAGAGAGGGTTCTTGGACCTGACGCAAGAAAGAATTCAGGACAAGTCCACCACGTGCAGCAAAAGGAAGTTTATTAAGAAAGTAAAGTGGTGAATGAACAGCTGCTCCACAGGCAGAGCAGGACGTTCCCGAGAGTAAGGGGAGGAGCGCGTCTACCCTAGGCACAATGCTTGTTTATATATAAGCTCGGAAAAGATCATAGGGAGAGATGCTCTGCTACAGGGATTTATGATAAAGGCTTTTGTTTATTACTATATTTTGCAAGAATCAATATTATTATCTTTAAAGCAAATTTTTAAAGCTATACTGTGTGTGTGCATGTGCAGGTGTGTGAGTGTGTGAATGTGCATGTATGTTAGTGAATGACTGTGTGCAAGTGTGAGTGAATGTGTTTGAACGTGCATGTGCGTTACTGTGTGTGTGTGAATGTGCGTTCATGTGTGTGAATGTGCACGCCTGTGACTGTATGTGAACATCTGTGAATGAGTTGTGAATGTGAGTGTGAATGTGTGTGTGAATATATGTGTGCATATATGAATATGAGTGTGTGTGTGTGCACGTGAGGACTTATGCACCAGAACTGCTCTAGGCATCCACATTAGCTTTCAATCGTCACAACAGCCTTGTGAGACACGTGTTATTCTATTATTATTTGCATTAGTTTCATAGCTGCAGACTCTGAGGCTTGGCCACGTGAAGTGGGTTTTTCAGGGCTGTTTGGCCGATGCCGGCCGTGGCACTCACCTGGTTCTGCTGTGCTCACTCTAATTGTCAGGCTGCACTGAGGCTCTGCTCGTTAGACATCGTGTGAGGACTTGGGCTGGCGCTGGAATTGGGGGGGTCGCAAGCACTATGTGTGCATGAGTGACATTTCATTACCGCCAGCAGGGTCCCCCCTCCAGTGACCTTGTTTCAAGGAAGTGTGCTCCCATGTCCCAAGCGCCCGCCCCGGGAAAAGATGGTGTGGGCACTGTTGCTTCCAATAATGTGCCATTAATCTCCAGCAGTGCAAACGATGCCTGCTCTGAGCAGTTCAACCCCATGAGGAACATTTTGTATTCAACTTAATCTTTGCTTTATGTCTGTAATATCAAAGCATGTCCAAAGAGCCCGTACACTGTCAGAATCTGTTTAATTGTGCGTAAGAGGTTTCGGCTTTAATTAAGGCAGTGGGGGAAGCATTCCCTCAGAACTCAGCCCCTGTACTCGCAGAGAGCATCTCAGTACAGGGGCCACATGGAGCTCAGCTCCAGCCTCCTTTGAGGTGCCTGGGGCCACTCGGGTTTTGCCCCAACGGTGACCATCACATTATTCCCAGATTGTCGCGGTCCACACGGATGGCGGCTCACCAGCGTCTGCGCCCAGGCATGGGCCGCCCTCTGGAGATGAGTGTGTGTGTGCATTGGACTTTGAAGCCATGGACAGGGAATGAAGGAGGTCAGCGGCTCCTCCAGCTTCCCCGCCCATCAGGGGCTGAGCCGTCATTAAACTCCAGGCTTCCTGTGCGGCTCAGGGTTCTTTCAGGCACAAAGCAACATGGGGCTGCGGTCTCCTGCCTTCTGGGTGTATCACTTGGGTTCCTTGGGCTCCCTGTGTCAGTGTAGACCAGGTCCCCCACTCCTGCCATGGGGCAGGCCCCGGACTAGACATGTCATGGCATGAAAACCCTGCACCTGCTGGACATGCGGAGAGGATCCTGGGCAGCCTGAGACCGTTCCTGCCCCCGTCTGTCCCTGCAGCAATGCATCCTGGTCACCTGTGTCTGCCCTGAAATACTCCCATCAATACGAGGGTGGGCAAACGGACAGTGGGGACACCCTCAAGACACTTACATCCTAGCAGGAGCAGACAGAAAATAACACTGGGTAAAGATAATGTGTGAATCATTTAGTCCTTTAGCGGGGAAAGAAAGGGCGCAGAAAAGTGAGGTAGGCATGGGCTTTGACGTGAACCGAATGGCGCAGATGAGTCTGAAGAGAAGGCAGGTTTGAGCAAAGGCCGAGGGCAAGGGGTCACCGTGGGCGTGGCTGAGCAGCTGTTCTGGGCAGAGGAACCGCCATGCTGAGGGCCTGAGGCAGGACTTGCCTGGGTGCCCAGGGGAGGGCGGAGGGGTGGGACAGGCCGGCCCAGTTAGGGCTGTGAGCGCTGGCGTTTTGAGCAGAGGGTGGCATGTAGGTGTCAGGAGGCCTGCCCCGGCTGCTGAGCTGGGGACAGAGGGCAAGAGGGGAGGCGGGAACCTGCTAGGGCTGTGGGTGCAGCTGACAGGTGGCTCAGAGCAGACGCCACAGTGAATCAGGAGCTTCTGGATGCCAGGAGCCCGTGTCAGCAAGGTGTAGCTGTGGGCAACCCCCGGGACTCTGGCGGAAGGCCCTGGGTGTGACCACAGGCCCAGCCCGAAGCCTCCACATCCGTGCTCCGGGAACGGCCCAGGCTGGGACGGGCGCCACCCCAGGGCTGGCACTAACTACTTAAGTGGTGGGTGGCTTGACCCTGTGGGCCTCTGGGCCAAGTAGGGACCGGGACTTAGGGGGCTTCCCCCTCTGGTTTCCAACCTTGGGTTCCAGTCCTGTGAAACAGCATAGACCAATTTGCTCTGCAATCCACCATGCATGGGCAGAACGAACAGGTGGCTGTCCAGGCTATACCTGCCCGGTTCAACCCAGTTCTGCAGTCAGCTCCCGGGGAGTGCTGGCTGTGCCTGCTGCTGTCTCCTGGGCTTGGACTCAGGCGTCCAGGATGGGCCCCAGAGGGAAGGCATGGGGCTGCCTGTCGGTAGGAGGAGAGCCAGGCCTTCCGATTCTTTGGCCACTGCCCAGCAGAGCCTCACTGTCCCAGCCCCACTCACCTGAGCCCCCAGCCCTGTGTGAGGGCAGCAGTGGCCATGTCTTGCCCGGGTGGCCATGTCCAGTCTGGATGCCATCACAGCACTCGCATGCAGAAACACAAGAGCTTTCCGATTCCCCAAGTTCAGTATCACCAAGTTCCCCTGGGTGCGATTATTTTAAAGGTAAAAGTTCCAGGGGTCCTCGTGGAGGGCCAGCGGGTGCACAATTCCTCATCCTCAAAGCTCCTTTAGACGGTGGACTTCCTGCCTTCCATAAGGCTGGTAAAATCCAAATCTTTACACATTGCCTCTTATTGGCTTGTTTTTGCTGTTCTGAGCTTCCTGGTAAAGTAATTTTGGTAATTTTACTTTCTCCTCCGTGTGTGACTTTTCTGTTAATATTTGCCTCTTGTGGACTCCTGATGTCTCTGGGAGACGGTCCTCAGCGTGAGACCTTCCTACTTTCAATCTTGTCCACTGACTCTACTTTTCATTTCTAGTTTTGTTTCTTATTTATATTCTCCTGGGGTTTTTATTGTAATGTCTTTGCTTTCCCTTGTGTTTTTAATTCCTTCATTCATTATTTTCTATGATTCTATTTTCTGAAGTTTTAGGAGGCTAATCCAGCTCCTAATGTGTGTGCTGGCATGTGCTCATAGAGGACTGGTGCTGTGTGTGGTTTGTAATCTTAGTTTAGTGGTCTTGGTTGGGGCTTTGTCTGTGGGAATCTCATGAGGCTTGAATGGAGAGTGCCTCTGGCCAGTCCCTGCTGACACTGGGCTGGATAATTCTTCGCTCTGGGGGCCTCCTGTGAAGGGTGTTGGCAGCATCTCTGGTTTCTACTCACTGGATGCCAGTCAGCGTCGTGACCATCACAGACATCTCCAGACCTTGCCGGCTGTCCCAGGGCAGAACTGCCCCCCACTGGGAACTGCTGGCTGGTTCTCTGCTTGGTTCAGTTAACGTCATGGCATCCCTGGCCTGCAGCCACCTTTGTAAGTGATAATTTCCTGGCAGTCTCGCCCACAGAGATGCCAGCCTCACCGCGCTGTGCACGTCAGGCTCACAGACACATGGCATCACGTTTGACCTGGCCAAGCAGAGACCTTGTAACCTTCTGGAACCAGCTAGCCAGTGTCCTTCCAGGTCACCCTCCAGGGAGGGGGAGCCCTGCCTGGCCCTGCTTTCCTTAGGATCAGTTCAGTTCTGCCTTCGTGCTGTGATGGCCATTCTATTATTGAGCTGTTCCTCTTCTTTCTTTTCCTGATGTTCCATGCAGAGAATGGGGAGGAACTCCAGAGCTTTCAGAAGCAGCTTTGCAATCTCTTAAGTCAAGTAGTTAGCTTTAAAACACTTTTAATGTAGCATGTAATTTATGCCCATATTTTAAAATGTGTATTCTGGGAAGAAGAAAGCCTTTTACAGCAAAAGTTCCAGGTTATACCTGATTATCCAGTTATTTTAATAATTATTCATCCCTGCCTACAAAAAACTGGACCACACAAAGCATTTGGCTGCCGGGGAAGTCAGCCTGTCCTGCAAGCCTGACACATGTGCTCCGCAAGGACCGGAGGGTGGGGCGTCGAACCACAATGCTCCACAGTAATAACTCAGGCGACTCTCTTGTTCCCTAGGGTGAAACTGGACACTCATTTTCCAGGTCGAAGCTGCTGGTCTCAGCTGTGATTTTACCAGTTCCCTGAAAGAGAATACCCTGTACCTTCACAGAGTCAGGTAAACCCAGAACCTGCCAGAATTTGGCAAGAAACCTCAAGTAGTACTGGATTACTGTTTTTCATTTCAGAGAGAGTCTTCTAGGTGGGCTCTTATGCCTTCTGCTGATGGTGAAGCTGAGACTCTGGTGGCTGTTGAGACACACCTGTCAAAGGCATGTGTCATAGGCAGCCCAGAACTTGGGCATGGCCCCTTCTGAGCCCCACCTGGGACTGCAGAGGACAAGGGAGCTCTCAGCTTGCAGGGCCGTCTGGTCACAGAGGGCTGGAGCAGCTGGGTTTGAACATTCGACAAACCGAACAGCTGCTGCTTATTCTGGGCAGTCTCTGAGGCAGCAGGTTCAGACGACTTCCTGCCACATTAGGAAGCTCCATCTCGTGAGCCCTGGGAGCCCAGCAGGTGGGAATTTTCAAAGCCTTTAATCCCTCAGAATGCCTGACTAGCAGGGCGCAGGAAATCTCTGCAACAAATTTCCATGACCTAAGCAGCTGATTGCTTTTGAATAAAATGAGGTCCCCTGCTCCAGCCCTCTGCCTGGCCAGCCCTCAGTCTCAGAGAAGCTCTCCCGCTTTGCAGGCTCTCTGCCTGCCCCTGACAGCCGCCCCCACAGCTCATGCAGTATCGGATGCGTGGCGCTCATCCGTGTTCCTCAGTTCGGTGCTCCAGGCCATGTCCTTGACATGGGGTATCTGGCGCATAGATTGAGATCATGTGTTCACTGAATGAACCATGGGGCACAGAGGCACACACAACCACTTGAATCCTGACCGCGTCCACCACTTCTCATGCAGTGAACTTGGCTCTGAAGGTCACAGGTCCCCATGATTACCCAGCACTTCTCTCCTGCCCGCCATTGCAGTAGCAGTCCAAGGTGCTCTCTCCCATTCAGAAGAGGCTTCTCCTATTCTTCACTGGGGGTGCCGAGCTCCTACTGGCAAGCTCACTAGCGCCATTTTGTTAGACTCTCTTTCCCTCCCTTCTTCCCTCCCTCCTCCTTTTCATTTGACTTTTTTCCCCCTAAAATCTCTGGTGAATCACATGCTTGGGTCAAGTTGGCAGTCTGTGAGCTACACATTGAGCACACCCACTACACCCCACTCTTTCCCGGTTCCTGCATTGCCCTTGTGGTGGGTTTAAGCTTTACTTGGCAGAGGTTCAAGTATATACTTGTTAGCAACAACCATAAAAAGGACTTGATGTTGACGGGGGAAGGCAGTGGCCCTCGAACCTCAGTGATGAGACTTGCATGTTACTGGATTCCCCCCGAGACCTACTAACTCAGGATAATTTTTATAAATTGAGATAAGATTCACGTAACATTGTATTTACCATCTTGATGTGCACAATTCAGTGGTTTTTAGTGTATTAACAATGTTGTGCAACGATCACCACTGTCTAATTCCAGGACTTTACGTCATCTCCAGAGAAACCCCGAGCCATTAGCAGACACTCCCCAACGCCCCCCTCCCATCCCCTGGAAACTCCTACCCTGCTTTCTATCTCTGTGAATTTACTTATCATGGATAATTTATTTTATTTTATTTTTTGAGACAGTCTCACTCTGTCGCCCAGGCTGGAGTGCAGTGATGCAATCTTGGCTCACTGTAACCTCCACCTCCCAGGTTCAAGTGATTCTCCTTCCTCAGCCTCCCAAGTGGTTGGGACTGCAGGCACCCACCACACCCGACTAATTTTTGTATTTTTTGGTAGAGACAGGGTTTCGCCATCTTGGCCAGGCTGGTCTCAAACTCCTGACCTCAAGTGATCCACCCGCCTCAGCCTCCCAAAATGCTGGGATTACAGGCGTGAGCCACCACACCCGGCTCAGACACTATATGTGACCTTTTCTGTCCGGCTGCTTTCACTTAGCATATGGTTTATATCCACACTGTTGCATTAACAGTGCTTGATTCCTGTTCGTGGCTGAATAACATTCCCCTATATAGGCCCCATATTTTGCTTATCCATTTATCAGTTGATGGAATTTGGGTTGTTTTCACTTTCTGGCTATTATAATAATGCCACTGTGAACATTTATGTACAGGTTTTTGTGTGAACACATGTTTTCATTTGTCTTGAGTGTACACCTTGGAGTGGAATTGCTAGGTCACATGGGAAGTGTATGTTTAAATTTTTGAGGAACTGCCAAACTGTTTTCCACTGTGGCTGTGACATTTTATATTTCCACCAGCAATGTACCAGGGTCCAATTTTTCCACAGCCTTTCCAGCACTTATTGGGTGTTTTTGTTTTTTTTTTTTTTTTCGTTTGTTTGATATAGCTACCCTAGTGGATGTGAAGTGGTATCCTGTAGTTTTCATTTACATTTCCATAACGACTAATGCTATTGATCACTTTTCATGTGCTTCTTAGCCATTCACATACTTCCTTTGGAGCAATACCTATTCAAATCCTCCGCCCATGTTTAAATTGGGTTGTTTGTCATTTGTGGTTGAGCTGCAAGAGCTCCTTGCATTCTGGATACTAGACTCTGACCAGATATGTGACATGTGACTTGCTCTTTTTTTCCCACTGTTAGTTGTCATTCATTTTTCTGGTGCTGTTTTCGATATACAGAAGAACTTCATTTGAATGAAGTCCAGTTTCTCTTTTTCCTTTTGTTGCTTGTGCTTTTGGCGTCCTGTTTCAGAAACCAGTGTCTAATCCATGGTCACGAAGAGTTACACTTCTGTTTTCTTCTAAGTGCGTTTCAGAGTTTTAGCGCTTACATTAAGATCTTTGATCTAGTTTGAATTAATTTTTATGTATAGTGCGATGTAGAGGTCTCCCTTGGTCCATTCAGTGTTGCTATAAAGGAATACCTGTGGCTGGGTAATTCATTTTAAGAAGAAGGTTTGCTTAACTCATGATTCTGATGTCTGGAAAAGTTGAAGATTGGGCATCCGCATCAGACGAAGGCCACAGGCAACTCTAGTCATGGCAGAAGATGGCACGGCGCTGGTGTGTGCAGAGACCACACAGAGAGGGAGGAAGCAAGGGTTAGGGGTGCCAGGCTCGTTCAACAGCCAACTCTGGAGGGAACTCAGAGAGTGAGAACTCACTCATTACCATGAAGACACCACGCAGCCATGCGTAAGGGATCCACCCCCATGACCCAAACCCCTCCCATTAGGCCCCACCTCCAACGTTGGGGATCAAATTCCACTGTAAAATTTGGAGGCCAATATCCAAACCATAGAAGGTTCAACTTTATTTTTTACATGTGGATAACCATTTGTTGGAGATACTATTATTTCTCCATTGAATAGTCTTGACAACCTTGTCAAAAATGAATTGACCATAGATCTATGGGTTCACTTCTGGACTTTCGATTCTGCTCCATTAATTTTTACATCTCCCCTTTTGCCAATACTACACTCTTGATTGCTATAGCTTTATACTTAGTTTGAGTAAGTAGTAATGTACTAGTGCATACTCGAATTACTATAAAGGAATACCTGAGACTGGGTGATTTATAAGGAAAAAATGTTTAATTAGCTCATGGTTCTGCAGGCTGCAAAGGAAGCATGGTGCTAATGTCTCATCAGCTGCTGGGGAGGCTTCAGGAAGCTTCCAGTCATAGCAGAAGGCAAAGGGGGAGCAGGCACGTTAATGGTAAAAGCAGGAACAAGGTTGGGGGGTAGGTACCACACACTTTTAAATGAACAGAACTCATGAAAACCCACTATTTCGAGGGCAGCACCAAGAGGATGGCACTGAGCCACGAGAAATGCACTCCTGCGATCCAGTCACCTCCCAGCAGGCCCCGCCTCCAACACTGGGGATTACATTTCGCCATGAGAGTTAGGTGGAGTCATGTAATAAAATTTTATCAAGTAAGTTTGAGCCCTCCGACTTTGTTCTTTGTCAAGATCATTTTGGCTACCTTGCATTTCCAATGCAATTTTAGGGTCAACTTGTCAATGTCTCAAAAAAATTACTGGGATTTTCATACTATTGGATTGACTCTGTTGATCAATTTAGGGAAGATTGCCCTCTTAATAATATTGAGTCTTCTAATACATGAACATGGGATGTCTTTTCATTTACCAAGTCTTAAAATTTCTTCCACCAATGTTTGTAGTTTTTTCAGTGTCCAAGTCTAAGTCTTTCCACCTCCTTGGTTAAGTTTATTCCTAAGTATTTTATTATTTCTGATGCTCTTATAAATGGATATTTTAACTTCCTTTTCTGATTGTGCATTGTTTTTGCATAGAAATACAACCGATTTTTTTTATATTGATCTAATTTCTTGCAATTTTGCTAAACCCATTCTCATAGTGGTGGGGGTGTGTGTGTGCGTGTGTGTCTGTCTGCGTGTGTTCTTTAAGGTTTTCTGTATACAAGATCATAAGATCAAGTCATCTGAAAATATACTTTTACTTCTTTCTTTTGAGTCTGGATGCCTTTTCTTTCTTTCTCTTGCCTAATTTTTCTGACTAGAATTTCCAGTACAATGTTAAGTAGAACTGATGAGAGCAGGCATTTCAGTCTTGTTCCTGGTCTTAGAGGGAAAAGATCCAGTTTTTCACCATTGATAATGAAGTTAAGTGTGAGTTTTTCCTATGTGGACTTTGTCATGTTGAGGAAGTTCTCTTTTAGTCCTAGTTATTGAGGTTTTTTTAAATCATGAAAGGATGTTAGACTTTGTCAAATCCCTTTTCTGCATCTATTGAAATTATCACATTTTTCCCTTCATCCTATAAATATGTACATGTTAATTGTTGTGTGTCATGCCACCCTTGTATTCCTGTGATAAATCTCTATGATAAATGATCATATGGCCATCATATACAATCCTTTTAATATGATGCTGGATTTATTTTGCTTGTGTTTTCTTGTGGATTTTTGCCTCTGTTGTTGTTGTTGTTGTTGTTTTTGAGATGGAGTCTCGCTCTGTTGCTCAGCCTGGAGTGCAGTGGTGTGATCTTGGCTCATTGCAACCTCCATCTCCCAGGTTCAGGCAATTCACCCTGCCTCAGCCTCCTTAGTAGCTGGGATTACAGGCACCAACCACCATACCCAGCTAATTTTCATATTTTTTAGTAGAGACAGGGTTTCATATGTTGGCCAGGCTAGTCTTGAACTCCTGACCTCAGGTGATCCGCCTGCCTCAGCCTCCCAATGTGCTGGGATTACAAGTGTGAGCCATTGTGCCCTGCCTTGCCTCTGTTTCTATCAGGGTTATTGGTTTGTAGTTTTGTTTTCCCATGACGTCCTTGTCTCCTCAGAGAATGGTTATGAAGCATTCCTTCCTCTTCAGTCTTTTAACAAATTTGAAAAGGATTGGTATTCATTCTTTTTTAAATATGTAGTAGAGTTTGCCAGTAAAGCCATCTTGTCCTTGGATTTTTGTTGGAGAAAGTTTTTTTGATTACTAATTTAATCCTTCTTTGTTATAGCTCTATTCAGATTTTCTATTTCTCCCTGAGTCAGTTTGGTACTCATGTGTTTCAAGGAATTTGTTCACATCATCCTCATTATTTAATTTGTTGGTATGCAACTGTTCATGGATTGACCCTTTTATCATTACATAATGTCCTTCTTTGTCCCTCACAACAATTTTTGCCTGAAAACCTATTTTGTCAGAAATTAGTATGGCCACTCCAGCTTTTTCCTTCATTTTCAAGGTATTTCTCTTTAAATATAAAGAGATTCTTACATGGACATTATATGCTTGGATTATTGTTTTTGTTGTTATTGTTTTTAATCTATTAAGCCAATCTTTGTCTTTTAATTGTTGAGTTTAATCCATTTACATTTAAGGTGATTGTTGATTAGGTAGGACTTCTGCTAGTTTGCCACATCTTTTCTCTGTGTCTTACATATTTTTTGTTCTTCTGTACTGCCTTCTTTTGTGTTAAATAGATATTTTTCCAATGTGCCATTTTAATTCCCTTGTGATTTCTTTTGTTGGCCAGGCTGGTCTTGAACTCCTGGCCTCAAGCAATCTGCCAACCTCACCCTCCCAAAGTGCTGGAATTACAGGTGTGAGCCACAATGCCTGGCCTCTCTTTCATTTTTGAAGGACAGTTTTGCCAGATATAAACTTCTTGGTTGACATGTTTTTTTTTTTTCCTTTCAGCTCATTAAATATGTCATCCCACTGCCTGCTGGCCTCCATGGTTTCTGAGGAAAAAAATTAACTATTAATCTTACTGAGCCTCCATCACACATGATAAGTTGCTTCTCTCTTGCTGCTTTCAAAATTCTCTCTCTCTCACTCTTTCTTTCTTTCTCTCTGAATAGAGTCTCTCTATTGCCCAGGCTGGGAGATAGGCACAATCTTGACTCATTGCAATCTTCACCTTCCCAGTTCAAGTGATTCTCCTGCCTCATGACTCCTGAGTAGCTGGGATTACAGGTACTTGCTACCATGGCTGGCTAATTTTTGTATTTTTAGTAGAGACAAGTTTTCACCATGTTGGTCAGCCTGGTCTTGAACTGCTGACCTCAGATGACTGACCTGCCTTGGCCTTCCAAAGTGCTGGGCTTACAAGTGTGAGCCACTGTGCCTGGCCAATCTTTGTCTTTAGACAGCTTGATTATGGTGTGTCAGTGTCGATGTCTTTGAATTTATCTTAATTGGAGTTTGTTGAGTTTCTTAGATGTGTAATGTTTTTCATCAAATTTGAAGTGGGTTTTTTTTTACCATTATTTCTTCAAATATTCTCTCTTTCCTGTCCTCTTTCCTTTTGGGACTCTCATTATGCAAAGGTTGGTACATCTGATGGTATCCCACAGGTCTCTTAGGCGCTGCTCAGTTTTCTTATTTTCTTTCTGCTGCTCAGATAGGATACTATGAAATGATGTATCTTCAATTTCTCTGATTCTTTCTTAAGCCTGTTCACATCTGCTGTTGAGATCCTCTAATAAGCTTTTCATTTCAGCTATTATGCTTTCAACACATAATTTCTATCATTTTTTTAAATAACTTCTCTTTATTGATATCCTCTGGTGAGAAGTCATTCTCACAAATTTAGCTCTTTGAAGATATTAAATATAGCTTATGTGACATCTTTTTCTAGTGAATCCAATATCTGGGCTTCTTCAGGAATATTTTTTTAGTTGCTTTTTCCTGTCTATGAGCTACACTTTTATATTCTTTTTTTTTTTTTTTTTTTTTGAGATGGAGTTTCGCTCGTTACCCAGGCTGGAGTGCAATGGCGCGATCTCGGCTCACCGCAACCTCCGCCTCCTGGGTTCAGGCAATTCTCCTGCCTCAGCCTCCTGAGTAGCTGGGATTACAGGCACGTGCCACCATGCCCAGCTAATTTTTTGTAGTTTTAGTAGAGACGGGGTTTCACCATGTTGACCAGGATGGTCTCGATCTCTTGACCTCATGATCCACCCGCCTCGGCCTCCCAAAGTGCTGGGATTACAGGCTTGAGCCACCGCGCCCGGCCACTTTTATATTCTTTGTAAGCCTTATAAATCTGTGTTGAAAACTGTAGATTTTTAATGTGACAGTTCTGGAAATCAGACTCTTCCCTCTCCCCAGGATTTTTTTGTAGCTACTGTGGTTTGTTTAGTAACTATTCTTTGTCTTATGTGGCCCCTGATGTCTCTGTTCCAGTAGCTTAGTGGGCAACAAGTGATTGGACATAGATTCTTAAATGTCTGGAATAAAAACTAAAACTTGTTTTTGCAGATGGGCTCTATGTGTGTCTTGGCCCCAAGACACACATAGAGCATCAGCCAGGCTGGTCAAACCTCTGTCTTATCAACTCCTGCTCGCAGAATCTGAAGGTCAGCCAGAAAAGTGTCTTTTGGGACTTCTCCGGCCCTTCCCGGCATGTATGGGCACACCCCACCATGAGTGTGCCCTTTCAGATTCCCAGGAATTTGTTGGAACTTTTTCAAGCCCTTATTTCCCAAATCATCTCATTCCCCAGCCTTCCATTCCAAGCTTTTTGTTAGGCTATGGTCCCAACTCTCATCCACTGCCTCAGGCAACAGTAGCTAAAACACTTTCCTGTAAACGTTTTCTGACAAAAACTGCCCAGGTGGCTGCCTTTGCACCGAGGGATTTCCAAGTTATAGGAGATGAAGGCAGGCCCTTTCAGCAATCTTCCACGGAGCCACAACAATTATGATCCTTAGTGAATGAGGTCTGTGCGTCTCCTTCCAGTGCTGGTGCTGGTAGCGGGAATGCAGACTGCTACTTTCAAGACCTCTGCGGGGCGGGGGTGCAGGGTATGTGAAACGGCCAAAGCCGTTTGTTGTTATTGTTACCAAGACTCAGCTGTTCTCAGTGTCCCATGGTTGGTGCAAGCTTTTGGTTAGTTTCCGGAGTTCCAAAAAAGTTGACTCTTGACAGTTTTTTCCCAGGTTTTTCACTGTGTTAAGGTAGGGATGGACTTCCGGAGCTCCTTACTCTGCAGTCTCTCTGCTTCACAGAATGCTGAGTAGGGTCCCCTTCGTGCTCTGACGCGGCTGGTCCGCGGCGCACAAACTAAACGGGGGCTGCGTCTGTCCCTCCAGACATCGCGACGGCCTTACTTGTCGGCGGGGTCCGTCCTGAAACATCTGGCTCTTTTCAGTCTGCATCAATTTGTCAAAACTTGGTGGGACACTTGTTCGAGGCCCGTAGCTGGAGAACCCGGCTGCTCTCCTGGCGATAACTCAAGGCCAGGTCGCCACTGGGCGGGGTCCCCGGACGCCTGAGGCGCCCCGCGGGAGCCAGACGCAGACGTGGGGCCTTCGGAGGAGCGGGAACGGGAGCGGGAACGGGAGCGGGGAGGGCGGAGGGGCCGCGGTTCAGTGCCGGCCCCGGCGGGCAGACGCGCTCCCCAGCTCAGCTCTCGCGGCCCTAACGCGCTCCGTTCCCTTTGCAGGCGCGGCCTCCTGAGCCCGGCGGAAGCCCCTGGGTGTTTCCGGCGCATGGAGCCATGGCCCTGCTCCCCGGGCACGCGGAGCCCCCTGGCGGCGGCGCTGTGGGCGGCGGGGCCCGCGCCCGGCACGTCATCATCAATGTGGGCGGCTGCCGCGTGCGCCTGGCCTGGGCCGCGCTTGCGCAGTGCCCCCTCGCGCGCCTGGAGCGCCTGCGCGCCTGCCGCGGCCACGACGAGCTGCTGCGCGTGTGCGACGACTACGACGTGAGCCGCGACGAGTTCTTCTTCGACCGCAGCCCGTGCGCCTTCCGCGCCATCGTGGCGCTGCTGCGCGCGGGGAAGCTGCGGCTGCTGCGGGGCCCGTGCGCGCTGGCCTTCCGCGACGAGCTGGCCTACTGGGGCATCGACGAGGCGCGCCTGGAGCGCTGCTGCCTGCGCCGCCTGCGCCGCCGCGAGGAGGAGGCGGCCGAGGCGCGCGCGGAGCCGGCGGAGCGCGGGGCGCAGGGGAGCCCGGCGCGCGCCCTGGGGCCCCGGGGGCGGCTGCAGCGCGGCCGGCGGCGCCTGCGCGACGTGGTGGACAACCCGCACTCGGGGCTGGCGGGCAAGCTCTTCGCCTGCCTGTCCGTGTCCTTTGTGGCCGTCACGGCCGTGGGCCTCTGCTTGAGCACGATGCCGGACATCCGCGCCGAGGAGGAGCGGGTGAGCACGGGGCGGGGACGGGGCGGGGACGGGGCGGGGCTGGGGCCGGGCTGGGGCTGGGCTGCGGGTTAGTGAAGCGGGAGGAGGGCTGAGCTGGAGGCGCCTGGCAGGAGGGAGCACCACTGGTGGTGGTCTTGGCAAACCCCACCCCCCAGCGCGAAACAGCAGAGGCTCCAAGTTACATTGGGTTTCAGGACGCAGCATCGGTCCACAGGCCTCCGCCGGAAACTGCTCTGCTCATCAGGCCCTCAAAGTTTGGACAACGTGGAGCTAAAATATTGGGTATCCGGGGCCTAGAGATTTGTGCGACATTTGGTCATTGTGGACCAAGGAGACCCAACCACATTGTTCCAGGGCCGGCGGACAGTGCCAGGGCCAGGCAGGCTTCTGGCTATGGAACTGAGGTCTGGGTGCCAAGGTCTGGGTGCTGACAGGTCTGCGTGCCAGGGTCTGGGTGCTGGGAGGTCTGGGTGCTGTTATAGGGTCCAGCCCTATTGGGTCTAGAGGGTATTCTCTACGGGTGCGGAAACGAGAGACTGTAGAAATAAAGACACAAGACACTGAGATAAAGAGAAAACAAGCTTGGGCCCAGGGATCCACTGCCACCTACTGCACGGAGTCCGGTAGTGACCCCAAGTGCCTGGACACTCTGACTTTTATTGAGTACAAAGCAGGGGGTAGGGAGAATAGGGTGAGTTCAAGCAAATCACATGTCTAAGGAACAAAGGGGCCAAGACTTGCAAGTAGCTGAACAAGGGGCCCAGGGCTTTCAAGTAGCCGAAGCAGGGGACAGCGAGATGCGTCAGCATCGTATGCTGTGCTTGCCCAGTGAGAACAAAGGCATCAAAAATAATGCTGCTTCTTACTACCTTCAAAAGAGGAACCAGGTGCACAAGTAGGGAGTGAAGGCAGACACTGGCCTATATAGCACAGCACCAGAGAGACAGTTAACCCCCGGGTAGCTGCGGGTTGGGCTGACTGATACCAGTCCCTCAGGGGAGTGGAGTGTTCTCAGACTTGCCCAAGGACAGGGAATGTTCCCTTCCAAGGTCTGCTCGGGGAAGCACCGGCACTACTGCAGAGATTTTAGATGCCCTCCAGCAACCCTTATGCAGGTGTGACAGAGGGCTGGCTTTCAGCATTGGCCACCAGTCAGTGTTCCACAGGTGTTAATGCTCTTGCCTCTTGTCCACATTCCATAGCTCATCAGTCCCTAACCACAGCGACCTAAAGTTCTTAAGTAAATATGCATACAGTGCAAGAAGGCTTTAATCAATGCTTAGTATTCACTAAGATTAATATCTCATCACTCATGATGCTTAATATTCAATAAGACTAATATCCAATCACTCGTAATACTTATTCCTAACTAGAGTCTTTTTTCTATATTCTATTTATCAGACAGGAGCTGGGTGAGGCTTCAGTCTCCTGCTTCGGCACTTATGAGACTTTCCTTCCACACTGGGAGTTCTGGGTGCTAAGAGGTCTGGGGGCTGAGTGGTCTGGGTGCTGAGGTCTGGGTGTGGATCTTCCTGCACCTCTCCTGGACTTCCTGCCCCATCCATCCTGTCCCCACTAATCTGAGAAGGCCTGTGCAGAGTGTGTGTCATTGTGGGTCAACCTCTGTTACCATGAGGAGGAGACAAGAGAAGGTGAAAGCTTGCCAGTGTGTGTCGTGGAACGTTCTGGAAGTGTCTGGGGAAGGATCATGAGCACCAGGCCTTAGGCCTGGGGGTTTGTGTTGTCGGAGTGGTGGGATTCCTGGACAAGGGACCATGACTGTGTCTGAACAGACGTAGCTTGGTATTGCTCTGGAAAAGTCTCCCTGCATTTTCCAATGGCCACACCAGGAGGCAGAGCACCCCACCAGGGTGGGGCTCGGGCACCCCTCTCCTCAGCACTGGCCTCCCTGGACTGCATGGAGGCCCCTGCACCCCTAATGGGGCAGAGCACCCACCTTCAGCACTGCAGAGCCTGTGGCCGCCTGGGGGACACCTTGTCATTGAAAGGCACAGCAATGAGCTGAACTGACCCAAGCCCGTGGCCCCAGTGCAGATTTGAGGTCAATGCAGATTTGGAAGCCACTTGCTGCCACGCAGCCTGGTTGTCTGGCATCCGGGCCGCCTTCCCCCGTCATCCTCCTGAGGTCCAGGTCCTGATTATGCTTCCAAAAGGTGCCCAAGCATTTGGATATCCTCGGTCGGATGTCCAAGAGGAGAAATTCATTTGTGTCACGTTCGCAAATCTGAGAAGTTTGGGCTGCCCCAGCTACAGAAGTCACCCCAGGAACACCAGCCCTAGCCCTTGCTGTGTACCCCAAAACCCCAGATCCTCTCAGTGACAACCCCGGGCTCTGTGTCACCCAGCCCTTCACACCTCCTGATGCGCATCCCTAAATCAGTTGTCCAGTTAAGAAGCAGTCGCCCTCCGCGTGGGGCCTCGTGACATGTGTCCGAGTGTTGCAGCTACTGCAGCTGACCAAAGGTCTCTTTCGGAAGTGATTGTCATGTGGGTGAAGAGCCAAGCAAGATGGTTCTCACCCCCATCCTAAGGGAATATTTCAAAGCATGAGAAATGACATGTTAATGACCTCACAAAACCGGAAGCCAGGGTGCTTCTGAGCATCCAGCTAGGGGCTGGTTAAGGACATCACCTCCTGTCCACTGGATTGATGGGATGTGGGGAACAGTAAAATGTTGGTGATTCCCACGAAAATCGCTCAGCCTCACATATAATTAAATACATGGTGAATCCCAGACAGTGCAAGCCCCTGCCCAGCTCAGGCCTCAGACAAGCTGAGTCGCTGGCTGACCATCCCAACCCAGCCACTGAGGGTCAGCGGTGGGACACTAACTCAGTGCTCCCTGGAGAGCACATTGGTGCGAGTGCTTCGGTGCTGTTTGCCAGAACACGAGTTCTTGAGAAATAGGAGCCGGTGTTACTGACAAAATGTGAGCTCTCTGATGAGATCAAGTCCAGCTGCCACACAGGGTTGGCTTCTGCAGGGTTTCCTGCACGCACTGTGCTGTCCGAGGTGCAGGAGTAGGGGTGCAGGAGCCATGAGCACCCTACACACAGCAGACACTGGGGAGACCCCAAGCCAGAGTCTAGCCAGGATGACCTCCCAGGGTCTCCTGGGTGCCTCAGAGAATTTGGGAAGCCCAGGGCGCAGGTTGGTTTCAGTGCCTGCCCCCTGCTGAGTCTCCTGCCCCTGGGCTGTGACCCAGATGGGGGCAGCAGCTCCCTGTGGGGAAACGCCTGGTCCACTGCAGACAGTGAGCGCTAAAGAAATAGGAAATGGTGTCACTGCCTCCTGGGAGGAAAAAGGCTTATATTCCATCCACCCTCCTTTCTTTATTTTGCAAACTATGCAGAAAAGTTGCCATTCTAACCCATTTTAAGTTCCCAGTTGAGCGGCACTAAGCTGTTCGCTGCTGTTGGGCAGCCGTCACCACCACTGTCTTCAGGACTTTTCCATCTTCCCACACTGAAGCTCTGTCCCCACAAAACACGGACTCCCTGCCCCAATCCTGGTGCTCCGTCTGCTGCTGTGTCCAGGGCTCTGAAGACTCCAGGGACCTCCTGGAAGTAGAATCACAGTCTGTCCTTCTGTGACTGGCTTATTAAGGTTCATCCACGTGGTAGCCCGTGTCCAGGTTTCCTGACTTCTCATGGCCGAATAATATTCCATTGCACAGATGCACCTCTCAGCCCCTCCTCTGCCTTCCGCCAGAAACTTTGTAGTTTGGGCTTGGTGGGCAGAGCTGCAGACAGCCTCAGCCCAGAGCACCGGAGCCCACAGTCCTGAAGTCGCAGTAATGTTAACAATGGTTAGACCTGGTTAGCAGGGACATTTGGCTAAATAAGAAGATATTATACGTGGGCATTAAGCCGGATGCAGTGATCGCACCTGTAGTTCCATCACCTCAGGAGGCTGAGGCCGGAGGAGCACAGCAGGTTAGGAGTTGGAGGCCAGCCCGAGCAACATAGGGAGACCCCATTGCTACAAAAATGTAGCCAAGTGCAGTGGTGTGTGCCTGTGACCCCAGCTACTCGAGAGGCTGAGGTCGGGGGATTGCTTGAGCCCAGAGATTCAAGGCTGCGGTGAACCATGATTGTGCCAACACGCTCCAGCCTGGGTGACACACCAGACTCTGCCTCAAAAAACAACAAATGTGGGCATTGCTGAGGACACCTGCTGGGAGGACGCCTGCTGGGAGGACACCTGCTGGGAGCACAGCCAACAATCATCCTGCGTGCTCCCTGCTGCTACAAAACAAACTGCTTCGCTTCTGACAACAGCTTCATTCTCTGACAGCTCTGGTGGGCAGAAGTCCACGGTGGGAGTGCTGGGGTGAAAATCAAGGTGTGGCAGGGCCGGTTCCTTCTGGAGGCTCCAAGGGAGCTGTTTTCTGCCTGTTTAGTTTGTGGGGGCTGTGGGTGCTTGGCCCCTTCTCCTGCCTCTGGAAGCAGGACTCTGTCCTCTGCTTCCCTGTGTCCGCCTCCTCTCACCTCCAGCACCCAATCCTGTGGGGATCTCCTGAGGACCCTAAGCCCATCAGCCACCCAGGACCATCTCCCATCTCAAGGCCCTCGGCTCAGTCCCACCTGCACTTGCAGAGCCCCTCCTGCCTGTGAGGTGATGCATTCACGGGTCGTGGGCACCGGAGCGTGGACCTCTCTAGGGCCATTATCCAGCCTACTATAGTCATGAAAGCATGCAAGCCTGAGCTCTGTGCTGCAGCCCCAGGCTGAGGGCTGCTGGGTTTGCTGTGCATCCCGCATTGGCAACCACGTTTGCCCATCAATTCCCGATGTGCCCGACACACATCTGCCATCCTCCCTGACACCTGGGAGTCGCCAGGGTCTAAGCGCCTGGAGGAGGGGCCATGCGTGCCACAGCTCGGTGCTGCTGTCCAGGCTGGAGGAAGCCTAGGCGTGTTTGCACGCAGCCCCTCCGAGTGCTGAAGCCACATTGTCTCATTGCCCCATGGTGCCCA